TTTTTTTTTTTTTTTTTTTTACCGTTTGAAAACTACTCGCGTGTCCCCAACTGTCGATCGTACATCACGGCCAACTGAAACGTGGCGTGCACGATTCGTATCATTGGTATTTTATACCAATTTATACGTGTACAGTCTCGTATCGAGAGCGTAATTACGATTATTTTGAACGCTCATAAAATTCCAATTCTAATTCTAATAATATATAGATAAATGTAGATAAAGAAGCTTCGAGTTCTACTAAATTTTTTGCATCTTGCTATACTGCTTCTTTCTCGATATATGTCTTTCTTTTTTTTTTTTTTTTTTTCTGCAATTCGATTTCGTTGTCCGCCTCGATCCGCGTGGATAAACGGTGGTGTTTAACATTTATCGCGTCTATTCGGATCGGGTGCAGGGATCAAAGGTTTAAAACGAATGCGTGTTTGGTAATACAGTTGGAAACATCATCAATCAAACGTTGTACCGGATGCGAGAGAGTACGAGTGAAAGAGATAGAGAGAAAGAGAGAGAGGGATGAAAGGAAATCCTAGAAAATTGCAGCCGCGATATATATGTATATTATCCGAAAAAAATTGTGAATCAGGTATACATATTCAACGGGCATTGTTTAGAAGCGTAAGCGTTGTTTTAAATCTCGTTTTCATCGATTATTTCAAAGTATTGTCACCGAAATTGCGGGTGACGAGTTCAACGAACCGATGTATATCGATGAACATTGGCCGAAATTTATTGATACTTTCGGTGTCCCATCGGATAAATCAATTTTATCTCGTTTCATTACCGCTCTTTAAAAACGGTATGTGTATTATAAAATCGATTCTTCCTTTTTTTTTTAAATATTAATTTTCCTTTTAATCCCTATCGATGATTTTTTTCTTTCTTCTTTTTCTTTTTTTTTTTTGTAATACTTGTCTATAATATAACGAAATATTGATTGAAACGTAAAAATCGTACAAGATTGTTTAAAATAATCGTCAATTTTGTGTATCAAAGACGTTTGAAAAAATCGTTTAATCAATCACGAACTGTTTAATTAAATTTTCCATCGAAAGCGTTTGTTTCGGAATTTTTTAATCGTAAAATTTTCAAAACGATATCGCCATTCGAAAGTACAGTATCTTGACAAAAGATTGATTAACGAATTACTTGTATAGAGCGTCCATATCTGTGAAGGCTGAACGTTTCAATTAATTTCAATACTCCCAACATTTCATGTCCTTACGTTTCTTCACGCTCTTCAAAAGCCACTCGCTTCGCCAATTCACCTCAAGAACTTGAAGAACCCCTTTAATACGAGCATCGTAGTCTTTCGAATTCCTGAGACAAGCAACTCATTCACGAATTTTCAACGGAGAATATTTGAGGAAAAAGATCCTGATCTCAGATAAACAAGTCGAAACAAGCATGCTGGATTAAATACCTTAAATTTCACATCCTCTTCAGATCCACGGAATTCAGCTTCCTCTGCCCCTCATTCGATAAACGGGAGTGCATTTTCGTGGCCGTCGAACGTGAAGCGAAAGAATTAATTTGAAGAGAGTCCAACCGGTGTTGGACCCGATTAATTGACATGTTCCACGGGAAATTAATTTATCGGCGATCGTGCGCCGAGAAAATTGTCTGCGAATTCAGGTTCAGGTCGAAAGAAATTCGTTGCACGTACCTCGCGTATCCCTTTTCCTCGCGGCATCCTTCCCCTCCCTTGCTTTCCAGTTCCATTTCTCGAAATTAAATGTAAATTCCTATATTATTCTTGGCAATTTCGCTTAATGTCGCGCTGCCCGTCGAATTATTTCGCCAACTTCGTACGTGGCGAGACGTGGGTTAATATCCCTCCCCCCCTTTCTTCGGATTTTCGCCTGGAAATTTTGTTCAATCCTTTTCAAAAAAACATTTGAGGAACGAGAGAAACAACGATCGATACTTTTCAACTTTTTTTTCGCGAAGAAGAGCGTCTCTTTTTTCTTGTAATGTATTCTTTTGTTTGACACTTTCGTTGAGACAAAGTATTATTCGGATCGAAATTGCGTATTTTTACGATGTTATTCGATCGAAACGACGACCATTTTGATTTGAGATTTATTTGCAGTAAAAGTTGACGGCCATGGAATTATTTTTCAGTTTATTATTTTTATTCCCCTGCAAGTTTGCCTGTGCAAGATTGCATTAAATAATTACGTTTTCATATCATTCCTATGTATTTTCGTTCCTTCGTTCTGAAAAATGAAGAAAATAATTTCCACCGTATTTCCATCGTACTTTCGAGCAGTTTGAAACTTAAGAAACTAACTCGGTTGGGAGGGGCATCGGTGGTTCGAAGAACGGTGATATTTCACGTGAAGTGAAACCAATAACTCGCTAAATCCTGCTTCGAAAAACTGGGTTACCACTTAAATTAAAAAGGATTATACTTTCGATTCTTGTCGCTCTGTATGAATTGTACAATTGACGAGATGTCGCATCGACGTTGGCAAATTGATTGCAGAGAATTCGCGACATGGTTTGCAAGGTCGGCGTAAAGCGTGAATGCCAATGCGCGTGAACATCGAAACTCGAAACGTATTAATCTGGAAGACTGTTGTTGTTGGGAGGGGAGGGAGGAACGCTGTAAAGATTGAAATTAATTCGCAACTTCGAGCTGAAGAGAGTTTTGGAAATACCGATTTTCCGATCGACGAGAACACCGAGATAATTTACATTATTGTTTCAAGATCGATTGTGTGCGTTAATTACTTTCAACGAGGCCTTCATTAACGAGTAAAATAGCCAATGAATTTTAGAATTTTACCAAATTTCCTCCTATCGTCGTTCGCTGAAACAAACAAAATGAAATTTAATAATATCGTTATCCTCTGAAATTTTTATCAAGTGTCAAAATTTTGTTGCAAAATTATCGCCAACGAATCAATGAAAAAACTCTCGTTATCGCGTCTTCTCTTCCTCAGATTCTTTCCTAGATCCTTCTAAAATTTTTCTCTGAAGAAAAAGAAAAAGAAAAAAGTCGAAATAATTTCGAAAAACAGATTCTTTCTACATTTCTACCAAATCTATAAATCGATTTTTCAAATTAACTTAATAATGCCATAAAAAAATATATAAATATATTTTCGTTCGCCAAAAATTCCGCAAAGATTCGAAATTATTCTACTCAATCCCAAACCAAACGAGAAACCTTTTCCCTTCGAATCCACGATACTGGGAGATCCGTCCGCGTGACGTACGTTCCTGGTCTCGCATCAGTTTTCCGCAAAAAGAATCTTCGTTCACGGATGAGCGAAATAGGTCAACGTCATCCCACCGCCTGTTTCCCCGGAACCGGTGCCAAACCGATAATTCGGCTAGCTCGTCGACAGTGGTGGAAAAATGCGAGCGCCGAGGGGACAAAGCGGGGGGTGGATCGGTCGAAAGGAATTTCCAAGAGAGAAGTCATTCCGTTTATCGCCGCGCGAACGAGCAATCGCTGGGGGGATAAAATGGTTAAGGGTGCGAATCGAGTCGTGTCGAGTGTATTGTCCGAATTTTTGAAAGGAACCTCCACCCTTCCTCCGCGCCCCTCGTTTCTCTCTTATTTGTTTATTCGTTCCAAACTCGTTCGAAACGAAACGAAAACGAATTCGTTTTCTTCTTTTGTTCAATTTGAAAAAAAAAAAAAAAAAAAAAAAAAAGCTAAATGACAACATCAATGCTAAATCAACGACGTGTGTGTGATATATAACATTGTCGCGTTATGTAAGAATACCTGCTCTTTTTCTTCCTTTCCTTTTTTCTTTTTTCCCCGATGTTGTTTCACGCATCTTTTCACCAATCGGTTCCAATCATTGTAGTCCAATAAGACCGAGCTTTTCAAGTTAAAGCTTCTTAACTGGGTAGCCGGTAGGAAAGTTTAACTCGAACACCGAAACTCATTAAACTCTTTATTGCTTCGCTAAGTATCGCAACAGATGTTCCAAGTTATCATTCGGAAGTTTGACTTACTGTACGCAGTTGAATTATCGTTACCTCTGTTTCTCTCCATCCCATCCCATTTCGAAACTTCTCCCTTTGTTCCAACGACGCTTTTCTCTCTCTCTTTTTTTTCCCCCCCTCCCCACCGATGCGCAAACTCTGGAAAAAAAAAATATCGGATAAATCCTTACGATGGTATTTATATATACCGGCACACCGATATACACCGTATCGGGGGAAATAAAAATTTCAAATCGAAAAAAAAAAAAAAAATTCGCAAAAATCGCGTGCATCGGCGTTAAATATTTTTAAACGGAATAAAAATATTCTGCTCGCGTCAACGACGCGTTCGTTAATAGTGGCGACGATATTTTCAGACATAGGTATATGACATAGGTATGGACATAGGTATATAGAGAAGAATATATATATATATATATAATATAAAAAAATCAAAAAAAAAAAAAAAAAAAGAAAAATCGAGCGAGAAATTCTCGGGAAAGCATCGGCTCCAATTAAATGCCAATGAATCCGAATTCGGGCGCGTTCGCTGATCAAATAATCGAACGATTTATTCCCCTACGGCGGGGTGTTCTATTTTGCATATCGCGGGGGAGGAAGGGGCGAGATATCGGTATCGATTGATACCGGCCCATTGAAATAGTATTTACGGATGAGCGGGATCGTAAGAACGAGCGGGAAAGCTCGTGGCTGCTCGGTCAAAAGTGTCTTTCGCAGGGGAGGGGGGTTGAAGTGGCTTCGTCCCCTTTGAAGCGGCCCGCCACGCTCGTTCCTTGCGCCTCTGCCGGCTTTTCAACGCCGGAACGAGCCCCTGTATTCGTTTACACGCGTTTACAAGCGGATTTGAGCGGAGGATGAAGAATTCGAGTCCCCCAGTCTGGGTCAAGAACGGTCGTTTCGAAGCGATACCTTCGCGTTTCTCGCCATTTTCTCGCCGTTTTTCGAAGTCGTTGAAAACTCATTTCAATCCGTTTATCCGCCGTATTGAAATGAAATTCGAGGAAATTGGAGGAAATTTCGCCGATTAGGATCGACGAACGAAGTCAGGGATGGAAATGTCGTTTTTAAATTGGAATAGAAAAGAAAGAAATGAAAAAGTATTGGTAATATTTTACACGATTCGAATGGGGTCTAATTAGGAGGGAGTCGCGGTACTTGGTGATCGTGACGTAAACCGCGAGGCAAACAAACATAACCAGCCTTGTCTCGATTACAGGCTTTCTAAACGCTAACACGGATTCGCACTTACGCTCGCCGGCGAATTACGGTCTGATGGATCAAATCGCGGCGCTCCATTGGGTGCAGGAGAACATCGGCAACTTCGGCGGCGATCCTAGGAACGTGACGTTGATTGGACACGGTACAGGGGCGGCCTGCGTTAATTTCTTGATGACCAGCCACGCGGTGCCAGACGGTGAGTACTTTTCTCCTCCTCCTCCTTCTTCTTCTTCTTCTTCTTCTTCTTCTTCTTCTTCTTCTTCTTTTTCAATTAAGAGCAAAACGAGAAAAAAAAAAGATTTAGTTTTCGTTCGATGGACGTGTAAAATTAAAGTGTTCTAAAATCCGAAGAGAAACACGTACACGCGGAAGGATTCCAACCATTTCGGATGATAAATTTTAAAAACGACGCGATTTATCAAAATGCGCAATTCATAATAATGTTTGTGAATCGTATCCCGTTTATAAATCGGTTAAATTTCTCTACACGTATTCCATCCGAATCCACGCGGCCCGTATTTTCGAAAGGAGAGTAAACACATATCCGACCAGATTTCGATCCACTGCCGGTTGCGAAAGAGAGAGGCGAGGGGGGACGTGTTTGGCGAACGTTTCGAACGAGAGATATCGAAGGCGAGGGTGGTTTATTTGAATATTAAAAGCACGAGTTTAGCGATACACGGTGGAAAAGATAGGGGGATCAAAAGAGAGGTTTCTTCGGCCAGCCAGAGAAAATCGCGTCTCTTTAATCGAATCACGGGGTAATTCACCCCGCTTGGAGCGTGTCTGGGATGGCGGCGTGTGTTTTACTCGCCCGACCGTTAGGAATAATTAGCGTCGGACTAACCTTTTTAACAACCACGTCTAGAAATAACCGATGGAATATCCAAGATTAAAGCGTTAGACGTAAACGAAGGGGTGAATGGAGCACGGGCCAAGCCGTATAAAAAAAAAAAAAAAAAGGCAGCTTCCGGCGAAAGCTTCGTTTCAAGCCAACCCTTTCCTGCTAGTCTGCTCGAATTCGCCGATAAAGGGCCACCCCTACGATAGTAGTATCTACGACACTTTGTAACCGGGAAAATCGCTTTGGAGATCGTTCTCATGTTTTTTATCGGCTTCTTTCACTGTGAAAGAAACCTTTCTACGCGAAGCGAGAGGAAGATGTTGCTATAAAATGTTACGATCGTGTCATCCTCGGATAATCCTCTCGCTCTCGCTTCAATTTTATATCGTAAGATAGTTTGACTTTCCGCGAGGAAAGTGATGATAACTGGAAAATTTAAATTCATTTTCGAATGACAACCGATTCGAATCGACACGTTTAAACATCTCTTACTTTCGATTCGAGCTCAATTCGAAGTATCGTTTTGTACTTAACTTCTTCTTAACTTCGCTCTGCTAGGGACTTCTTCTCTCTCGTCTTACAGTCGAATTCCCTTCCATTTCTCTTCTCACGAGGCTGAAAAACGTGAATCGATGAAAATTATTAACATTCTCGAATCTTAACAATCTTGCCTTCTGACAATTCGCAAATAATATCTTTTATTTTCTATTGAAAAATAAAAATAGCTAAAAATTCTTCGTTAATTGTCAACGAGATATCAAAATCGGGACAATTATAATTTCAATCCCATAGGTTCGCAAGGAACCTTCGATTTAATCGAGGTATATAATAAATTTTTTCGAAGCCCGAGTAATATCGATCGAGGAATTAAAAATTAAAACCCTTTCGAAAATGATTTCTCGGGTCCTTGGTTGATCGCGTGAGCGGAAGGTGTGCATGGAAGGGTGTTTCAACGCGTGGAAGACAAATCGATCCTTGGAGGGTGGGGGAAAAACAACGAAGTAATCTGGTCAGAGGGTTCCAAGCTTATCGCTAACCCGACCGAACGATAATTCCCTACAGTTGGAAACTGCCAATGGGGGTTAAACCAGCTGATTCTATCCCTAATTGATCACGTCTCGCAAGCCATCCTCCCAACGCTTGTCGCCGACTTCGGATGGAATTAACTTTAATATGCGCATACGAATACATACACGACGAAGAATACCCGAAGAAAATTGGATGGCGTGGCGATAAAAGGAAACTTCGAGTTGCGAGAGGATACGAAAATCTTCTATCCTTTAATCATTCTTTAATCAAAAGAATCGCAATAATTCCTCGACACGAATCTTCCAAAATTTTATTTACAGATTTCCTAATTTTCACACGAAGCAAATTTATCAACAGACCTTTCAAGAAAATTCGATACCTATCATTATCATTTCGTGGAAAATTATTATTTTTTATTATTATTTTTATTATTATTATTATTATTATTATTATTATTATTATTATTTTTGTCAACTTTTTTCTCTCTCTTCTCCTTCCTTCCTTCCCTCCCTCCCTCCCTCCCTCCTTTCCAGATATTTTACATCCTCTCGACGATCAACAGGATTTTACGCGCCGTCACTCAACTAATTTCACCCCATTCCCGCGACGATAATCCTTTCGCGGAGTCGTGAAAAAGAGGGGGAGGGCAACAAGCGGGTTTTATTTAGGGGCGGCGTGACGCGCCGCGGAGAGGGGAGGGGAAGGAGAGGGTACAAGTTGCGCCGTCGGAGCAACGGCGGTTGTCGAGAGGCATTACGAGAGGGGAAAGGCTCGTTTAATGAGTCCACGACCAGCAAATGCCACGCAACGCCGCTATTTGTGACGTAAAATGCGCCGTGTAATTTGCGCTGATGGCATCACCACCACCGAGTTCCCGCCCGAACGATGAATGACGGCAATCCCGTTCAGGAGGATGGTTCGCGTTCGCTTTAATGGGGAAAAATCGGGGCCTCGTATGTGTATCCTCCTGTATCCTCCTCCTTCCCCTCCTCACCATCCTTCACTCTCTCCTCCTTCCCCCCGAGATTCCCCCCCGATTATAAAATAATGCCACGCATATCCGTTCACCCGTGTACAAATTTATTTTACACTAGAAATCCCTATCCATCGATCAATTGTAAAAGTACGAGGCCCTTGAAACACTACCCGTTTTTTGTAATAACCAATCGATTGATGATGTTTTTTTCTCTTTCTTCTCGTGGCTAAAATATTACTTTTGTTTTTTCTTCGATTTAATCGTATTACGATTGTTAATGATTATAAACTTGTTTTTGCAATTTTTTGCAATACGCGATAATTGTAATTACAAATACGTAAGAAATAATTTTTTATGTTTGCAAATCTTTTTTCAAACTCGGATGGATTTCAGAAATAATCCATTCCAGGAAATCGTTGTAATATTTTCACGATGTTTTTCGCTGTCACAGTGGGAGAAATTAAACGGATTACTTGGTGCGCGAAAAGCAGGGACGAAAAAATTGATCGTTCTGATTAATAAAAAGAAAAAAAAAGTGGTAACCCGCGTGTATCGCGAAAGGTTATGCATTTCTTTTTTTTTTTTTTTTTAATTACCTGAGAGGGGTGTCTGGAACGCGTGCTCTAACGAATCTAACAGCTTATCAGGGGTTGGCTAGGTTTTATAACGTTTTCCTTGTGATTTATACGCTGCAACAACAAGCGCACGGGTGTTTAATCTTAACGCGCCGTCTGTCATACGCGCACAACAAAACTCTCCCTCCCCGAAGTGTTACTTTAAAAAGCTCACGCGTGATTCTAGTAAATCAATTGTTCCTGTTCAACGATCCGTAACTACGTCTCGTGAATAGCGTTAAGAAAAGTGGTTTACCGACATGCAACACCTAATTTCAATTTTTTTTATTATCACTTTTCGAGAGATAGAGAAATATAACGAGTAAAATTAATTTATATAAAGTTTAATGTACTAAAACGTTAATAATCTTTCAGCTAGCTCGGATCTGAACGAATTCGTCGAAAGATCGACTCGCGATCGGTTGGAAAAAATCGGTTGGAAAAAAACATGGGAGGAACTCGGCCGTAATAACTTAAATGTCAAGGAGAAAAGGTTAAAATTATCACGGGCGATCGACTCGGAAATCGGATCGCTGCCTCCTTTAATCGGTCACTCCCTGATGGGTTCTAATCCATTCAGTTTAACCTATGCAGGGAACCGGCACCGAAATGGATAATGTCCGCGGTTACGAACTCTCTATCAAGTGGCAGACCAAACAGAATCGGTATCAGCTGTTATCTACCAAAGGGTAGATTGCAGCCTCTGTATAAATACTTCGACCCTGCCTGGGAATGTGCCAGAATGCTTCGCCACGAATTTCAAATTGCGCGATCATCGATTCGAAGCTCGAGAAAAGGGGATGCTAAAGATTCTTTTCTTATCTTTAAAATATATATACATCGTGCTAAAGTATATGCAAATTAATCTAATTTTGCAGACGTTTCGCAATTTTTGACTTATGCATCGATAGAGTTCCCTTTTTTTATTGGGCTGTTCGGAAAGTAATTTCGTTTTTTCACACGAGTGTCGCTAGTTGTTTATCCAGCCAACTTCGTTCTAAACCGTATAGTTATTATATATTTTGAGAATTGGCGTTTAATGGTTTATTTATAAGAAAAATATTCGTTTGATTCTGCGCGATTGTGTTTTTCGTGCGTGATAATAAAGATGCAAAATCAAAAGAAACATTTTCAGCATACTTTTTTATTTTTTTATTACCGAAAAAGTAAGAATGCTGGCAAGAAAAAAGTTACGCCAAGTCTATGGAGGAGGTATATTAACGGTACGCTAATGACGAAACTGGTTTTCAAAATTTCGTTCCGACAATTTCGATATTAAAAATGCGCCACGTTCTGGAAGATCAGTCGAAACTGATAAGGACAAAGTAAAGGAACTGATCGACGAATAACAATTCGAGAAATTGCTACGAGATTGAATTTGTCGAATTCGACTGTTCATGAACGCGTGAACAACAACCCAATACGTTGCATCGTGCTTGTCAAAAGAATACCAAATTAACGTATTTTTGTAGATTTTTTAGATTTTATAATTCTCCTTACGTTGAATTGTGCTTGTCGCGTCGAAAAGATATTGTATATTAATTTGTAATTCGTACAAACTTGCTAAGAAAATTATTCGTCCGATCTTTCATTCTTTCGATCAATATTGCAAGTAACGAGCAGATATTCAGAAGATATTTACAAAGGCCATTTTAAAAAGCCGATTTTACAATTTAACTTCTTCTCTTTTTGAC